GGTAAGGGAGCAGATGTGTGTGCTGGTCGAAAGATCATATATGATTACCTTTGTATGGGTCCCCTCACATTGCTCAATCCCAGGCAATGAGAAGGCGGACTCTCTCGCAAAGGTGGGCGCGCAGGAAGGCGAATTGTATGACAGGCAAATTTCACACGATGAATTTTACCATTTAGTGCGTCAGAGTACCTTTTCGAGTTGGCAAACCGATTGGGACACTGGAAATCTTGGACGGTGGTTACATTCAATTATTCCTAATGTTTCTTCGAGAGCGTGGTTTAAAGGCTTGGGCTTAAGTCGTGACTTCATTCGCGTGATGAGTAGACTTATGTCCAACCACTACTCGCTAGATGCTCATCTCAATAGAATAAACCTCGTGGACAGCAACATCTGTCGGTGTGGAAACGGTTACGATGACATCGAACACGCAGTTTGGCAATGTACGGATAATGACGCCGCCAGAGAGCGACTTTTGAATACCCTCGAGGCCCAAGGAAGACAACCCTATGTTCCTATCAGAGACGTGTTGGCAACCCGTGATCTCTGCTATATGCAGTCCGTTTATGTTTTTCTTCAAATGTCTAGTATAAGAATTTAATTCCTTTTGTCTTTTGTCTCTCTTTATTAGTTTTTGTTTGTCTTGTCCCCCCGTCTCGATGAGTCTCATCGTCGCCCACTGGTCACCCACCATAGCCGGTCGAACTCCGGACGAAGCTAGAACAGCACTACCGTTCATACTGGCGACAACGCTCTGATGAGACAACGAAACCCTACCCCAAGCTCCTCCACTGATCCTATCCTTCGAAAATGTACCCTTCTAACCTCGAGTAAGCCGCGAGTAATCGGCCCAACTCCTACTAGACATAGAATTAAGTGAATTTTGTTACACACAGTGAACAATGAATTATCGGCTCCGTAAAGCTAACGCGATTGAGCCTTCCAAATAAACGAACTAGATAAAAAAAAGACAGTAAAATTCTCGTGATTTATTAAGCATCCTAAACAATGACGCGTACGTAAAGGAGATTGCCGATGGATCATAAAAAAAAGTTAAAGTGGCTTTAATTTGCATGTTAAGAAATGGAATTTTTGAAGATAAGCGGATATTTTTCGACATTGTAACGTAATAGCCTCCACATATTTATTTGTTACAAAGAAAATGAAAATCCAACGTTTTCTTCAAATTGTTTCGTATGTTCTGAACTCAACAACTTTTAGCAAGAACAGGAAAATGAGGGAGCATTATTCTCACTTTCCACTTATAGATGCTCAACAGAGATGATCAGTGAGTGAATGATTTTGCTACTCTCTCCTTGTCATTTAATCTAACTGTCATGGATGGCTTTTATGCAGATGGTCTAGTGAGGTAGAGGTGTTTCCAAGTGATATGATAGTTGACCGTCATTTCTGAGATGTGACGGTTAAGGTACAATAACCGTTATGATAATTCAAAGTGTTTTTTATGTTACTTCATACGCGAAGTTAACGATTTTCAGAGTTGGTTGGAAATGCTAACATGAAGCTTTAGTGTGATGATTTATTAGCTAGAGAATGATCTTTAGAAGAGGGTAGGTGGATAGTTCCGTTAGAGTACGGCAGTATGAAAATTGAATAGAAGTTGAAAATGAGCGAAGGGCCATTAATGCGTCAGTTTTTCAAGATAGACGCACATTTTTGCCTAACCCGTACGATGTACGCGGGGACTTGAAGTATGTCTCCAAGTCCACAGGCAAAAATGTGCGTCCCTCTTTTTGCTCATAAACTGACTGCGGCTGTGGAATAGTTCTAGCGACGTTTTCATCACTACCTAAAGCCCCACGTTGCGAGAGCATTTCCAGTCGATGGTGTGTTATAATGCAGTTCTTCTTTACCCAACTATTGTGTTGTTACTAGGATCATAGGATACGTGAAAAGTACCAAGGGAATCGAATGTTGAGGGTACAATTCCAAAGGAATTCGGAGAATAATTTTAAGAGAATTCCGAGGATAATTCCAAGGGCATATCAAAATAAATTTCTAGAGAATTTTAAGGAAGTCTCAAGGGGTAAGTCAGTCTGCCACATTGTGTTAACACTCACAAAAACACACTTCAACACACTTAAAACACCCACAAACACCATTACGTCACATGATAAGCAAATTTTTTAATCAATTCTGGAACCACTGCAAATACTGTTTACATTCGATTGTTATTTTGTTGTCGGGAAAGAAAAACATTCTGGATCTCGATTGAAATCCAAAGAAAAGGAAATCCGAAACCGGTTAGGATCCACGAAAGTAGCAGGAGGAACAGATGCTAAAAAAGGTAAATGTGTCGCATGAAAATCAAGACAAACGCAACGGAACAGTGTCTCATTGTGTATCATAGGTTCTCACTAGCAGCAACCCAATCACGGCCCCACCAATTAATTGCAAATTGTACCCATTGCTTGGTCCTTGTTCCCGGGTGGCACGTGCCTATTCATCTTCCTCTTGCAGCGGCAGGGCCTGTCTCACTCTGAAAGCCTGCGGTCGTATTAGCTCAATAACCTTAACCTTCCAGTCGGTTTTGCTTTTTCATTAAACAAATAACAGCAAAGGAGTCGCAGAAGGCTCTGTCATTTTCAGCGTTATGTTACGGTTGAGGATATGGTTACCAGAAAGTATATTTTTTCGGTCATCACGATGAAACACCCAGAAACACCTTCCGGCACTCAGAAACACAGTAAGCACAGACACAAGGTGGCAGAGTGACTTACCCCCTGGGAAGTCTCCAAGTAAAATTTTTGAAAAATTTAGAGAACTCTAAGATAATTCTGAACGAAATTTCAAGACAGTTCTAAGATGAATTATTTAGGAATTCTTAAGAAAATTCAAGCAAAGCTTTAAAATTTGTAGAAAATCTCAATCAATTATTTTTTGGATTGATCTGCACACAATACTTGGACTGTTATAAATTTTGTTTTTTTTATGGAATCCAAGAAGAATTTTCAAACTTATTTCAGAAGAATACTGAAAAAAAACTCTGTGATTTTTCAAGTTAAAACATAGACAAATTTTGAAGAATTCAAAAGCAGAACCAAATTTGGTGCAGGAAAAATGCTGCTGTCTTAGTAATGACTATTTTAACCTAGTGATCCCTTCGGCTTCCGGTTTTATACTTAGTTTTAATGTATATCACACAACTGGTAAAATTACCAAAATCCCGGGAAAAATCGGGAAATTTCTAATCGGGATTCACGTCACCATGACTATTTAATTTAAGATTGACAAACATGAGATAAATCTAAAAGTTATGGATCATCTGTGCTACAACACGAAGGGGAGAACGATTAAACCCCATTGTTGGTGGTTAGCGTCCAATAAAATTCCAGGCAATATCTAAAAAAATCTACACAGCTTTGCATTTGAAATAGTTTTTTTCAAAAACGACACATACCTAGGGGTTGTATCGTGATGCGTTGCTCTAGAAGCCTATTTAAAACAGGTGAAGTCGCATTCTTGAAGTCGCAGTGCATACGACTAGAGATTCAAAGCAATACTTTTCGGTCAATCTTCTAAGCAGCCAAACCAAAAACGTTCGCACAAAGCTGGTTGACACGTGATGAAGTGTTTTTCTACGCATACAGTTACTACAACAAACTATGCATGAACCAAAGGACCAGAACCAAAGCATGCATGCAACAATTTTACCACTACAGCAAAAACACTACACCGCTAATAAAAAATCGCCAAAAAGAAGGTCCACCTACATGTATTATTCCTAACAGGCAGTTGAGTAAAACTTGTCTTAGTTATGATATCTTCTTAGATTTGTCGCTAATTTTCAGTGTTCGAATATTCTTCGCTCGCTTTCACTCGTATGTGTATGTGTGTGTATAATGTGCTGTTGGTGTTGTGTCGTTACTGTGATGTTAGGTACGTATGTGTGTGTGTGAATGTATGTGTTAGTGTTAGTGGTCTATTGTTTGCAGTCCGTGTGCGTCGTTCTAGGAGCATTATCAATATCTAACGTGATATTCTAAATTTCTTTCTTACGTTTGTCAATCAATATCGTAGTCAACTGATCGGCGCCAAACTATTTTTTTTTTTGTAATTTTATATTTCCATTTGCGGTCTCTTATGACAGTGTACGTCCGTCTCAATTTCTTACTAATTATGTACTAGTTTTACAATTACAATTACTGTTTACCAAGTTACTTTGGAAATGCTTAACTGTGTTTGTATGTTTCACTTTTTTTTTCATTCTTAACATCGGCTTAACAAGTTATGAAATGTATGCGTGTTGTTTCATTTGTATGAGTTTCATGTTGTGTATGTCTTCACAAAGTCTCCCTCTCCTTGGCGTCAGTTATCAGTTGGATTTTCTGATGATTGTTCGGTCAGTGGGATATTGCTGTGAGCCCTAATTAGAGTTTTTTTTAGCATTCGATAGCGTTTTCTTATTAGTTCCGAAGTCACCTATATCAAAGGGTAAGGTTCGCTGAGAGAGGAGGTGTGGGGTGTACAGAGAGTGTCCGTTTCGGGGGTGTTAGTTGTGTGAGTGTTTTTCTTGTTTTTGGTGAAATTCAAAAATTCGAGCAATAACGCAACGCGATGCTTCTAAACATGATTAGTATGGTATGTTTGCTGAGGGGGATTAGTCTAGCGACTGATTTATGTTGGACGCCATACGTCGGGATCCTCCATCAGGGTCGAATGCTGATCCGTTGACGGTACACCTTGTACCGGGGACATCGCGTTCGGCGAAGCCATCGCAGCCATGTCCTCGCGAGTTCCCCTATTAGAAGGCAGGGTTGAACGCGAGTCGGATTGATTTTTTTTTATTCGACATAACCAATGAGTTTGTTTGTTAGCATGGGTGAGAGCAAAATTCAGACAGTTAGAATATTTGACTCAATGGATATGATACATGGAGAGCGTGGTTAGTATCAAACACCTGGTGAGCTCACACCACTCTGGAGATTATGTTTTGATCTGCTTGATCAACCAAGATACAAGAAGTAGAAACGGGTACTTACTTTTTGCCGAGCGACATCATGCCGTAGATCATTCCAGTTACGAAAATGAGACCACAGCCGAATAAGCTACCCAAGCCGAGGCAAAGGACTACCGGTGGAATTGCGATGCTGCAAATACCAAAACTTTCAATTTCAAAAACAGACAAATGGGACAATCAATTATGCACTCACACGCAGTACAGAGCAGCTCGGTTCCAGTACGGTCGCTGGTCAGCTTTCTCTGCCACCTGTTGGACGTGATCGATGAAGATGAAGCAACATGGTGCCTCTATTGCTAATACCACAAAACCGGCCAGTATTTCCAGGATACCACCGACGAGACAACCGACGTCTCCCAACAGAATACCGATGCAGTTGTACAGACCGAACAGAATAGCAACTGGAAGAAAAAAAAAAAAATAGGGAGCATTATTGGTTGGCACTGGCAAGGTGAGCAAAGTGGCTTATATTGCCAAGTGTAAAACTTGCGGATAACATATCAATATATTGACAAATGGAGGGTAGGGGGGTAGAATTAGAATAGCTTTGTCTAGCAAGTTAAGCTAATCTTTGCGTTTTATTACTCCTATTTCATAATTTCTTGACCGATTTTGATGAAGTAGCTTCTAATCGATCGGGAATCGCTTGTATAGACCAGTCAGCCTTGGCTTAAAACCTTTCAATACTGCCTTCGTAATTTATGAACAGCCCCTACTTATGTGCACATCACATCACAAAAGCATTTTACATTTTGATTTTTTTTCAGTGCGAGAATGCAGTTTTTTTTTAAAGTGAGTATACTGCCGTTATACGCATAACTGTCCCATGTTCTATGCAATCTATATTAAATTCTATAATAGTAAGGTGGGGAAAAAGTTCAACCTTAGTTGCACAAATTAAAATATCTTAAAATTCCACGTATTTGGAATCAACCTAATTCCATACACAATAAAATCGCTCCTTACATTTTGATCGGTGAATTAATTTACGGTACGATAAAAACAAAATAGAAAAAGAAAGTTCAATGGCTCCCCTTTCTGTGCTTGAAAACGAAAACGAAACAGCAGCATATCGATTTTTGTCAGAAATGAATTATCCATTTGAATCGATTGTATACACCAGCATTTTACACTGTGTACTAAAAATTAAATGCTTTTTTCATAAAATATCGAAACTAGGTTGTTCCATCCGTAAGAGACTATGGAGAAATACATTTTCAACGGCTTTGCTTACTGTTTTTGCAGATGGGACTAATATGCTTTAATATACTTACTTGATACTTGATGGGCTACGAATCGCCAGGTTGATTCAACGCCGGACGAAGTACTCTTCTCCATTGGACTCGGTCCTGAGCCAATCGCTTCCAGTCGCCATGAACGTTTAGCGACCTGATGTCCTCCTCAACTGCAAATAGCCAACGTGTCCGAGGTCTACCCCGGAGTCGACGACCTCTACCGGGTTTTCTGCTGAATATAATATTTGCTTGTCGTTCTTCCGGCATCCGCACTACATGCCCAGCCCACCGTAGTCTGCCGTGTTTTATAAGCTTCACTATATCCGTACCGTTATACACTTGGTACAACTCGTGATTCATGCGACGCCGCCAGATGCCATTCTCCTGTTTACCGCCGAGTATTGTTCGCAGCACCTTACGCTCGAAGACACCAAATGCTCTCCGGTCAGACTCTTTTAACGTCCACGATTCGTGGCCGTAGAGGGCTACCGGAAGTATCAGCGTCTTATACAGAGCGAATTTCGTTTTCGTTTGCAGGCTACGGGACTTCAGCTGGCTACGTAATCCGTAAAAGGCCCTGTTTGCAGCTGCAATACGTCTCTTCACCTCGCGGGTAACATCATTTTCGCATGTCACTAGTGTTCCAAGATACACAAATTCTTCCACTACCTCAAATTGTTCACCATCTAACAACACTACACTACCAACACTACTATTGCTCCCACGCTGTCTACCGGCTACCATGTACTTCGTTTTGGTAGAACTTATCGTGAGCCCAATCCTCGCCGTCTCCCTCTTAAAAGGCACAAACGCCTCTTCCACTGCTCTACGGTCAATTCCGATGATATCGATGTCGTCCGCAAAGGCAAGGAGCATGTACGATCGTGTGATGATGGTACCGTTCCTCTGCACACCAGCTCTCCTAATCGCTCCTTCAAGAGCAATGTTGAACAGTAAGTTTGAAAGTGCATCACCCTGCTTCAATCCATCTAAGGTCACGAACGAGGTCGAAATCTCATCTGCAACCCTTACACTTGATTTCGATCCATCTAGCGTTGCGCGAATCAGTCTAATTAGTTTCGCCGGAAAACCATGTTCTAGCATAATCTGCCAAAGCTCATTTCTCTTCACTGAATCGTATGCTGCTTTGAAATCAATAAACAGATGGTGAGTCTGCAAGTTGTACTCCCGGAATTTATCAAGGATTTGACGCAGGGTAAACATTTGATCCGTCGTTGATCGGCCCTCACGAAAACCAGCCTGGTATTCACCGACGAAGGACTCCTCAAGCGGTCTCAATCTGTTAAACAGAACGCGTGACAGTATTTTGTACGCCGAATTCAGAAGAGTTATTCCTCGATAATTGGCGCATTCGAGTCTGTGCCCTTTTTTGAATAATGGGCAAATGAGGCCATCCAACCAGCTAGCAGGCAGTTCTTCGTCCTCCCATATCTTCGTTAGAATACGGTAGATTGCTTGATGCAGCTGCTCACTTCCGTGTTTGAAAAGTTCGGCCGGGAGCTCGTCCTTCCCAGCAGCCTTATTGTTTTTCAGCTCACGTATTGCCTTTTTAACCTCGTCTAGCGTTGGAGGCTCCACAGCTTGATCGTCGTCTGCGATGTTTACTCTGTTCCTCGATACTCCCTCACTCTCTCCATTCAACAATGTCTCAAAATGTTCTTTCCACCTGGCAGCCACCATTGTTTTATCTGTCAGCAAATTCCCCTCAAGGTCATTGCACATGGCGGGAGATGGCGCTGTTTTACTCCGCACACCATTGACAGTCGCGTAGAACCTTCGCATATCGTTCTGTTCCATACTTTCTTGCGCCTCAGCAATCACGCGTTCTTCGTATTGCCTTTTCTTTCTGCGGTGGGTTCGTTTCTCAGCTGCCCTTGCTACCTTGTACCGCTCTCTGTTCAGCCGGGTACCAGACACTAACATCCGGCTTCTGGCAACGTTCTTCTCATCCGTCAATCTCTGGCACTCCTCATCAAACCAGCCATTACGTGGTCGTCTTTGAGCTGTACCTATCACTTCTTGTGCTGTTGTGTTCACCGCTCCGTGGATTGTGTTCCACAGATTGTTGAGGTCCTCGTTCACGTTGATTTCGCTAATCCGCTCATCAAGCTTCTGGCGGTACTCTGCAGCAACACCTTCTACTGACAAGCGATGGATATTGAAACGCATCGATCTCCGGTTCGTTGAATTCGTAACGGTCGATAGACGCGCCCGAATTTTGCAGACAACAAGATAATGATCTGAGTCAATGTTAGGCCCCCTAAAAGTCCTTACATCAATGACATCTGAGAAGTGCCGGCCATCCACCAACATGTGATCGATCTGGGTGCAAGTTTCGCCATTTGGGTGTCTCCAGGTGTGCTTTCGGATATTCTTGCGTGCAAAGTAGGTGCTACTGATGGCCATACCTCTAGCAGCGGCAAAGTTTATCAGTTTCAGGCCGTTATCATTGGTTACTGTATGTAGGCTCTCTGTAACAATGATTGGACGAAAAAAATCTTCCCTCCCGACCTGCGCATTTGCATCTCCGATTACAATCTTCACGTCGTGTTTTGGGCACTCATCATAAGTTTTATCGAGACTGTCATAAAACGCGTCCTTCACGTCATCGGATTTATCGTTGGTTGGCGCATAGATGTTGATCAGGCTGTAGTTGAAGAATTTGCCCCGAATCCTTAATACACAGATGCGGTCGCTTACCGGTCTCCACCGCATAACACGCTTCATCTGCTTCCCGATCACTATGAACCCTACTCCATGTTCTGCCCTATCGCCACCGCTGTGATAGATATTATACTTGAAGGAAGTGTTGGCGATGGGATCCACCGCCCGGAATTCACGTTCTCCGGATCTAGGCCACCGTACTTCCTGAATAGCAGCTACGCTCACATTCACTTTTTGCAGTTCACGAGCCAAAAGGCCCGCTCGTCCAGGTTCATTTAAGGTTCTGACATTCCAAGTACCGAGTTTCCATTCATTGTCCTTATTTCGTTGCCGGGTCGGTTGCCGAAAATTCCGTTCGTTGTTTTCTCTTTCTTCGTTTTTCTGAGTAATGTTGGGGGTTTCAGTATACTACCTTACCGGGGTCGCGATACCTACATCATGTTGGTGGGGCTGCCACCTTAGGTGTAGCTGACGTGATACAGCATTTCTTATTCAGCCGCTCGCTCCGAGACAGACGCTGTTTGAGCCGCACCTCCATGGTGAACAGACGCTCGAGGGTCGCACCTCCTCACTTTGCTATCACCACGATCCGGATCCATGTTTTTATCGTGGTGACATTGCCCAGGCTACGCTACCAGCATCTTTTGCTGGCGGTCTTTGTCATCGGCTGACCCGTGGAAGCGTGAGGTAGGAACTTGTGAGGACCAGAGCTGTTGGGACAACACTCCTTCCAGTTTGTCGACTCACCATTTGTAGCCATTTGTAGCTTTAATATAATATTAGCATAATTGACCGCCCGCAATTGCAACTCCGTTAAGCTGTAATAACACACAGAACCCAACAGATAGTGCTCAGTGTGTGAACTAAAAACTGGTAATCTCAAAATTAACAATAGACAATACCATCACAGACAAACAGACATAACACTCGCAAGCTGTTCATCGAACAAGCATTTAACGGTCAATTTAAAAGTATCGTAGTTGGTTGTATCGCCACCTGTGGCGCGCATAGTCAATTCCCTTGCGTTTGACGTTTACATACTACCACCATCTGTTACGCTGTACTGCCCACCACAGTGTGCTCAACAGATGGCGGTAATGTTTTAGCGACAATGTTTTACAGTGAGAAATAGTCAATGTGTTATGTCTGTTTGTCTGTGATACCAACCGGTCCGCACTCATGCCATGCCAATACAAGCATTAACTTCTCCAGAGGATCGTCACCCATCGTTTCAAACATGTGCTGCACTCTCATTGGTGGAAAAATCACAGCACAGCGAACAAAAAATAATCGATTAGTGGTTAATCGAGTAATTCAAAAATGATTTTGGTGTGATTGTTTTGATAAAAAAGAGCGCAAAATTTCATCTCTACCGACGGGGGCAGCACAACCACAAAATAACCTTGCATACGAGGGGTATTCATTGGATGAAAGGGACCGTGAAAGAGGACACTAAAATCGAAAGTTTTTCTTTCGACTGT